GACACGCAAATAGGAAGTAAGAAGTATTAGGTTGGTGCAAAAATAATGACGTAATAATGTCGTTTTTGGACGTATTTTTTAACGTCAAAAACGACATTATTACGTCATTATTTTTGCACCAACCTAATAGTATATTCCGGTGCTTATATATATATATATATATATATATGGTGCACGATTGGGAACAGAGACTAAGGAGCAGTTAATCGTTAACTCCACGGTACTTACCCGAGAACATCCCACAAGACGGGAACTGTGATACAAAGCTGGATTTAACGTGGGGATTTCCGAGCGCATACGCTCGAGTAAAAATTCCCCGTAGATTCCGCATACACGAGGTCGGGTGGCTGTGTACCTCCACAGACAATGAATTTCTCGGGTATTTCTCTCATTTGCTCTCGTCCCCATCTGAACTGGTTGAGAGCATATTCCTTTCTCAAGAGCTGACAACAAAAATATGATATGTCTAGAGATAATAAATCCTGGTAGGTCTTCTAGTTTTTTTTTTTGTTTTTTTTAAGCGATTCACCCCAATGGAGGCGAGAAGCCACTAGGATGCAAGGGGTTACAGAAGATTTGGAGTAATATCAGATAGGATTGATAGAGGAAAGGATGAGGAGAAGGGTAGTGGATAGATCAAGGCAACTGGAGATGTCGATTGACATTACATTTGAATAGTTGGAGATTATAGCTCTTAGGGAAACTGGAATAGGGAAGGGAGTTCCACAGGCGAAAGGTGCGAGATATGAAGCTATTGGAGTAGAAGAGACGGCTACATTTAATAGTTTCGACAGTGAAAGGGTGAGAGCGGGATGCCAGCCTCGTAGGGCGCTGGAACTCATTTCGCTGTTATATGTAGAATATATCTGGGGATCTTATTTCATTCAGTAGGAAAAAAAAACATTTAACTCACTGTAGAATATCGCAATCGAGAAATATATAATGTATTTAGCTTTATTCTGAAGACTAGAGGAAGACAGCTGGTCACCTTTATACGCTTGGCTAGGGAGTTAAGAATGAAAAAGACACAAATAAACACGAGTTCTATTAGTTTTGTTTTCTCTGTCAGTTCACTGTAAAATGGATGGTCGTATTGTAAATGAAGTTTGTTGCTTGATTCTTTCATTAAAAAAAATATCGAGAAAAGCTATATCCATTCTTGTGCATAAGAGATTGAAGCTTTTTCTAACCGACTAGACGTGATTTGGATACAGTGTCAGTACTTTTTTTTATCTTAATCAGTTACAGCAAAATAGTTTATGGATCCTGAACATTGGTCTTCAACAGACACTTGGTGTCTAAGAGACTAAAGCGAAATCAGTTCAGTCTGTCTTAACACTTTAAACAGAAAAAAATGAAAAGAAGAAAAAAATATCTATCTATCTATCTATCTATCTATCTATCTATCTATCTATATATATATATATATATATATATATATATATATATATATATAGTTATCGTTACTCTTTAGTCTCTGTTACGGTGGACTGGTCATGTCTTGAGAATGTCTGATGACAGGATACCCAAGATCCTAATGTAGAGCCAGTTAGATCAGGGCTACAGGAATGTCGTTCTGACATCGCCAAAAATGGGAAAAACACAATTGTTTTTGCACGAAATCAATTTGAAAACACGATTAAGAGGCATCACTGTTTCGAAAATGAAAGGGGAACAACTCATATCGAATTATACTTATTATAAAACCCAGGTTGTTTGTGCTTGTGTGTGTGTATTCGTTTATATATGGGATCGGATTTCCTACATTTTTCAACCGATTTCAACAAAACTTCACTTTTTTTGACAGGTAGTGTTTCCTATTGTCTTGCACACTTTTTTTCTTTATTTTTACATTCAGAATGCTTTAAAATTTTCATTTACAAGACAATTGTTTATAATAAAATTGAAAAATTCCATTCAATCGGTAGACTCATAACGATTGAAAACAATGTTTTTGTTTGAGTTTGACCAATTCGTAAAAAAGAACAAAAAAAAAAAACTAATTAAGACATGCATGTCCGTCAACCTTAAACAATAATCTTTGTCAATTTTATTTTTCAGTCTTTATGATGGTCGATACTTGATCTATCTCTTACTGTTATATCCCCGGGCAACGCCGGGCTCTACTGCTAGTCTCTTATATCTGGCAACCTAACTCCCCAGACTGCAAAGCCCATTTTCATTATGTGTGAACCGAATTTGAGTGAGAGACAAAAAAACAAAACAAAAAAAAACTCCTTGATAATCCAAAGATTAACTGAAGTCAAGGATTATCGCTGTATTCACTAACTTAAACAGGGAGACCGTCCAGAAAAGTTTCAGAAGATTCCAAAGCCGTCTGGAGGCCGCGGTTGATGCCAACGGCAATGCTAATGAATGAATTTACTCTTTAGTATTCCAAGACATTTTTGTGTACTTTTGGTAAATACATCTGTTAAAATGAGATTTTTGCGTAATTTAGACGACAATTTATACCTTGCAACCTATATATATATATATATATATATATATATATATATATATATATATATAAAATATCGAGCATTGAGTAATGGTGTTAATAAAATAGTGTTCGATGCAATATAACAGAGCTATTAAGTAGATATTAATAAATATATATTTTATCTCACCAGTAGCACGTTTATATTATACGTGGATTTCTATTTTTTAGAGAAAATTAAGAAAAGTTTAAAAGAAAGTGGAAAACGAAAATAAAAAGGAAAAAGACGGAAGAAAGACAGAAAAAAGAAAGAAAAAAAAAGAAAGGTTAAAGAGAAAATAAAGACAAAAATATCAAAGAAGAAACCAAAAACAAAGAAGGTTAAAATAAATAAAGAAAGAAAGAAAAAAAGATAGGAAGAAGAAATTAAAAAAAAACAGAAAAACAAAGAAGATACAAAGTTAAAATGAAAGATGAAAGAAAGAAAGAGGGAAGGGAAAACCGAACAAGGAAATAAAAATAACAAAGAAAGAAAGAAAGAAAGAAAGAAAGATAGGAAGAAGAAATTAAAAAAAACAGAAAAACAAAGAAGAAACAAAGTTAAAATGAAAGAGAAAAGAAAGAAAGAAAGAGAGAAGGGAAAACAAAACAAAGAAATAAAAATAACAAAGAAAGAAAGAAACAAAGAAAGAAAGAAAGAAAGATAGGAAGAAGAAATTAAAAAAAACAGAAAAACAAAGAAGAAACAAAGTTAAAATGAAAGAGGAAAGAAAGAAAGAAAGAGAGAAGGGAAAACCGAACAAAGAAATAAAAATAACAAAGAAAGAAAGAAACAAAGAAAGAAAAAAAGAAAGATAGGAAGAAGAAATTAAAAAAAACAGAAAAACAAAGAAGAAACAAAGTTAAAATGAAAGAGGAAAGAAAGAAAGAAAGAGAGAAGGGAAAACTGAACAAAGAAATAAAAGTAACAAAGAAAGAAAGAAAGAAAGAAATCGAAAATGACGACAAAGACTAAAACCGAGAGAGAACAAAAAAAAAAAAAAAGACAAAAGCAGAGAAGCAATGAAAGAAAATTTTGTAACTTAAAGTGTTACTGAATGAGGAATAACCAAAACGGATTTTGGAAATGAAATGGTAATCTTTATAACTTCACAAAATACAATACTCGCCAGCGGCGTGAAGTAGGTAAACCACTGCTAGTGGTGGGCTACTTAGACGATATGTTACTCCCATTTACAATAGTGTCCAACGTATTTGTGAGGATTGGGACATGCTCATTAGTGTTCATAGGTACGGTATATAACAGAAAGAGAGAATGAAAGCATGACTGAAGGCAAGAGAAAAAGAAACAGGTATGGTGGAAGAATTTAAGAAGTAGAGAGAGAGGGGGGGGAGGGAAGGAGAGAGAACAAAGTATCATAGAACAAATGAAGAAAGAGAATGAAGATGGAAATGAAAAACCTGGAGAAAGAAAAATAATGCATGAAGAAAAATATCAAAAATAGTAAGAAAAATTTAAGATGAGCAATAATTGTGAAAAAAATAGCTGCAAGAAAAGGGGCATAAAAATGAGATCCTCTACAGAAAAAAAGACAAAGAAAGAAAGAAAGAAAGAAAAAAGAAAGAAGAAAGAAAAAAAAAGGAAAGAAAGAAATGAAATAATAAAAACAAGAAAAAGTGCAAAAAAAGGAAAACTGTTTGATCGACTGATTTGTTTTTTACGGCTTACCAACCCTTTACTGGTTATTTAAAGTCAGAAAATATTTTAAAATTTGCACGGGATTTAAGAGGATAATAATGGTTTTTACTGATACAAATTCTGCTACTTAATCCATAGCTGGGAATAAGTGAATTCATACCTTTTCCCAGGGGTATTTGAGCATAAGTGAAAATAACCAAGGCAACTCGAACTGGAACTCAGCTCTCCGATTTACAATATCGAGCCGTTATCCATTAACACAATCCGTACAACCAATCTTACACTATCTGGTATTCCTAAGCGGTCACCCATCTAAGTACTAACTAGGCTCAACGCTGCTTAATCGCAAGAGAAAGAGAAGAGCGAAATCTCGACTAAAACTGAAAGGTGGACACCAAAATGAAAGAAAGTAAATTTGAATTGAAAAAGAGTGAAGAAAAAATGGGGAATAAAAAAGGCAAAGCAAAACGAAAGAGGGGGAAAAGAAACTGAAAGAAAAAAGCGCAAAGGAAGACTATTACTACTACTACTATTACTAATACTATTAGTACTACTACTACTAATAATAATGACAATAATGATAATAACAACAACAACAACAATAATAATAATAATAATAATAATAACAACAACAACAGAAAATGCAGAAGATAGAAACGAGGAATAAATGAAAACGAGGCTGGGCAAGGAGTCTGTGGTTTCTATTGTATTGTTACGCACTTCATTAAAGTCAGTTGTGTACTAAAAGGCGCCAATCTACTGCTAACGAAGTAGGGGAAAAAGAATCATTTACGAATTACCTCTTTGGATTGAGCGGGTGGGTCAGGGGCCTCGTTTCGTGATTCATTTCATTCGGTCAAGACTCCTCCTCGGTCATTATCCCATCAATCCAAATGATCCTGCCTTCGTTCCTCGCCTCAAGTTTTGTTGGATAAACCGCATTCGGACCTTGACCTCCCCGTCGATTTGCTTTCTTTCTTTCTTTCTTTATTCCTTTCTTTCAACTATTTTACTTTCTTCCTTAACAGTACTTTTTTTTAATTTTTCATTTTTATCTCATACGTTCCCTGAAGTTTATCACTATATCTATGCCTATCTATCTATCTGTCTGTCTGTCTATCTATCTATCTATCTATCTATCTATCTATCTATCTCGGTCTCTTTATGTCACTCTTCTTCTTATTTTACTCTTTGTCAGACAATTCAGGAGTTTAATCTATCTATCTAGCTAGCTAAGTCTGTTCACATATATGTATCTTAATCTGTTCATGCCTATATTTCTTCTTCGTCACCTTCTTGTTTATCTCTCAGATACTTCAATAAGTTATTATTTCTATCTCTCTCTGTCTCTCTCTCTATCGATATATCTCTTTCTCTCTGTCTCTCTGTCTCTCTCTCTCTCTCTATATATATATATATATGTCTGTTCACATACATCTATCTATCTTAATCTGTTCATGCCTCTGTTTTCTTCAGGTCTATCTCTCAGATATTTCAATATGCTATTATATCTATCTATCTATCTATCTATCTATCTATCTATCTATCTATCTGTTCATATCTATGTTTCTTCTTCGTCAGCTTCTTGTCTATCTCTCAGATACTTCAATAAGTTATTCTTTCTATCTCTCTCTCTATCTATCTATCTTTCTTTCTATATATATATATATCTATATATATATATATATATATATATATATATATATATATATATATGCCTGTTCACATACATCTATCTATCTTAATCTGTTCATGCCTCTGTTTTCTTCTTGTCTATCTCTCAAATATTTCAATATGTTATTATATCTATCTATCTATCTATCTATCTATCTATCTATCTATCTATCTATCTATCTATCTGTTCATGCCTATATTTCTTCTTCTTTGTCTCCTTTTATCGTATACAATGTAGGTTTCAAGCAAATATGCCGGCTAAGATGCGCAAGTCTTCTTTAAGCACTGACAGATTATTATTTCCGAAAGCCCAGTTGGAACTATTTTCCAAACTGGCAATTGTTATTGTATAAGCAATGAGGTGACATGCAAACCTTAAAGACACTTCTTAGACGTCTCTAATATTATGAGAATGTGGCACTGGTATATGTATACATACCGTCTGTCATTGGTTGGACATCTAAATTTCAAAGCAATAGATAGATAGATAGATAGATAGATAGATAGATAGATAGATAGATAGATAGATAGATAGATAAACCATTGAACTGTCCAAGAAGGAGTGAAAATGGAAGAGAGGCATAAACAGACCGAGATAGATAGATAGATAGATAGATAGATGTTAATAGACTGCGATAGCTAGATAGATAGATTAAACTACTTTTCTTTTTATTTGTTTCTTCACCTTTTTAGCTATGTTTTACAATACTTTCTTTCTTTCCTTTTCTTTGTTTCTCCTGACTAATCTTCTTTCTTCCTTTTTTTAACCTACCTAATTATATTTTTTCTTCCGTTTTATTTTGCACTGCTTTTTCTAACATAATTACTTTCTTTCTTTCCCTATTTCTTTTTTCTTTTTTCTTCTCGAATCTCACTTTCTTTCTTTCTTTCTTTGTCCTCTTATCGAGCAGGGTCTCTCAAGCACACTCATTATTTATTTGTTTCTCCTTCGGACAAGATGAAGAGCTCTTATCATAAGGGGCAGTAACTCTAGGGTGAAACTATACAGTTAATATCAATGAAACGTAACAAGGATGGGAAACAGGGCCAATTAATAATCTGCGGTGAGTGGTCAGAGTATTTGTTTTGCTGTCTTCAATAACAATATAACAAAAACAACAATGACCACAGAAATTAGGAGGAAGGAGAAAATACGAAAAATGCACAAAATGGCGGTGATATTAGATGCTATGAAAGAAAGAAAAAAGCAAAAAGAAATTAAAGAAAACAAGTTGATGTAATAAAAAAAAAATAAATTCACGACAATAACTGGCTGAGTTTTGAATAGTCACCACAAAGTAAAAGAGCAATTGTGGTTAATGAACAGATCTATTAGAAGGTATTGTTTTCTTTTGTTTCTGTGGTTGGCAAAAGATAAACTTACGAACCACCCTCTACCCTTAAAAATGAACGTAAATAAAAAAAATGGGAAGAAATCTAAAAATAAAAGTAAATATTATCAAATGGCATCGTGAAAATGTTAAAACGGGATATAAAAAAATGAAAGCAAAAAACAAAAAAACACAATCAAGTAATAATTTGTAAAAGGATGGCTAAAGAGAATGGGTTGGAAGTAACAGAAAGAACTACAAAAACGATGCGAATCATAACAGTTCTGCAATAGCATTTGCAGAAAAAGACAAACAAAAAAAGCGGGTAAAAAGTCAAAAATTAAAAAGAAATAAGCATACGAATATATATATATATACATATTTATATATACAAATATATGGATATAGATCCGACAGTATGAAGAAAAATATACAGAAAAAAAAAAAAAAAAATCTTAATATGCAATTATGCTGTATTAATGTTAATATAAATCAACGTCGGACGTTTCGGTCTATTTTAGACCATCATCAGGACATATTCATAAAACATAATTAACATTAGAACATAAAATTCAACATGAAAAAGTCGATGGATATAAGAGCACAACTAATCCAAACAGATAACTGAAATTTTTATATAAGATCAGCGTTCCGTTTAAATATGATCACGTCGTCGTCACGTGGGCGATGTTGTGAAAACGTATTCGAAGATGATTTCCAAATATTAAAATATTAAACAAGCTCGATTGAACTATATTCTCATATAAATAGTTCGTTAAGAAATCCTTTCCGTTGATATAGGAATACGCAGAGATCAATAGGTTCTTATGTTTCCATACAAGTTTGAAGTCTTCCATGTTATAAAGTAAATCAAAAATGATTTCAAAATATTAGATAGGCACGATGTTTAAAATTGTTCCATCGTGCGTATCTAATATTTTCTACATATATTTATTATTACCGGCCTCAATGTCCGAGAAATTTTCATAGAAAATATTCGTCCTTTGATAGGATTCGAACCTGCACCCTATACGGAACCGTCATTTACGCTGACGTGCCTTACCGTCTCGGCCACAAAGGTCGAATTTACTGCTTATAAACTTCAATCTTCCATGAATCTCGTACATTCATAACTGCTCTGGCGTATCAAATGTAAACAAATGACGTCATATATTAAAAATGGACAAAAGTCCGACAATTTTTTTTATAGACATTTTTTTGTTAAATGTTCTTTTTATAGATAAAAGTATTTGTTATTTAATACTGTTTATAATAAACAGTAAATTTATTAAATAATTGTATCTATAAAAAGAACGTTAAACATAAAAATGTCTTTAATAAATAAATTGTCGGACATTGTCCATTTCTTAATATATTTATATATACAAATATATATAGGGTGCGATGAGTAAATTGTCGCTATTTTATTTTTTTAATTTTGCGCATGTTCTCTGTTTTTGATTTTGTCGTCTTCACAGTATAGTACGCTCAGTTGGGTCGCGTCTGTGAGGAAAAAAAAAAGCATCATGAAGCAATTCACTCCGTCATAAATTTCGAAAAGGCATGCCGTACTGCTTGGCATTCGCGCCGGAAGCTCCAATACGAATATTTCAGAGTGTTTCGGTATCCCTCTGCGGACGGTGCAAAGATACGGAAAGAGTTGGATGAGTCTAATGGTGATTACGACGGGACGAGGGCTAGGAAACTCACTCTGATCGTTCTGATAGAAGAATTTCCGGGTTTGTTGGTGATGGCCTCAGAATCAACACGGCGGACTACAACAAGTGCCTTGAGGAGGTAGTGCTGCCCTGGCTCAAGAGGGTGCCTGCTAGAAGACCCTATATCTGGCAACAGGACACTGCACTATGCCACAAAGGGAGGAGAACACAATCATGGCTGTCAGACAATTTCTGCGACCACATCACCTCCTATATGTGGACTCCTAACTCCCCAGACTGCAACCCCCTTGATTATTATGTGTGCAGAGCAGCTGAGCGACAAACCAACAAAGTTCTTTGTAAGACCAAAGATTGAAGGCAAGAATCACGACAGCATTCACCAACTTAAACAAGGAGACCGTACAGAAGAGTTTCAGGAGATTCTGGAGTTGTCTGGTGGCCATGTAGTTAGAACCAATGGCCATGTTATTGAATAAATTTACCCTTTGTAATTTTTTTTTTTGCATAATTTAGACGACAATTTTCTCTCTCTCTCTCTCTCTCTCTCTCTATATATATATATATATATATATATATATATATATATATATATATATATATAGTCGACTCTCTCGTCGAATTCGGCGTATGAGGGTCGAGAAGATCAATTTCAGGATATATATATATATATATATATATATATATATATATATATATATATATATATATATATATATACGAGGTATGTCTGAAAAGTAACGGGACTGGTATCACAAACACTTCAGTTCAATTTCAAACAACAAACTACGTGGTTTTCTTTTCAAAGTTACCCCCTTCGAGTCACTGCATTTTTTTTCTGCTAGGCTTCTATTCACTGCTGGGAGGATTCTTATTGGATGTCCCTCAGCTTCCCTTGATGACCTCCACACCTTCAAAACGGGTTCAATTTATGATCTCTTTGATCTGAGGGGGAAAAAAAGTCATACGATGCAAGATCAGGTGAATATGCTAGTTGTTCCATTACGGTGATGTTCGTCTCACCCAGGATGCTAAGGGTGTTGTTAGAAGCTGTATTGTCATAGTACCACAACTGTGTATGTGTGCGTGTACGTGTTCGTGTATGCGTGTACGAGTTCGTGTGTGTGTGTGTGTGTGCGTGTGTGCGTGTGTGCGTGCACGTCAAATTTCAGATATAAGTATAAGTACAAATATATCTGTAAACTGACAATATAAATAAAGACAAAAGGAAAATTTATCTTAACCGGACGCGCTTCGAGCCCATATTTGCCTTGATAGGAAATGCGTCGGCTAAGATAAGTTTTCCTTTTATCTTTATTCACACACAAATACACACACACATATATGTGTGTGTGTGTGTGTGTGTGTGTGTGTATAAATTGTTTATACGTTATTTTATGCAACTATTTAAGTAAATGCCCCTGTTTATAATAAACAGTATTAAGAAAATTTACCGGCCTGAATGTCCGAGAAATTACATAGAAAATATGCATCCTCCGACAGTAATCGAACTTGTATACTACACGGAACCGTCATATAGTCTGACGTGCTATACCATTTAGTTACAGAGAAAGCGTCTGCTTAGTAAGTTAGATTCCTGTGTTATAAAAACCTTGGAGAATTCAAGTAAGGCATATTTAATCATTTCTAAGATAGAAAGTTTTAAAGCTTAATCTAGCAAATGAACAATTTTGCTGTTACACGATTTGGACAATTTTGATGTTACACTCGGTATATATGTTTGTGTATGTGTGTGCTTGTCAGTGTGTGTGTGTGTATGTGTATGCATCTATATATGCATGTGTGTTTATATATATATATATATCTTTAAATTTTCTGTATTTAACTTATGCGTAGCTTTCAGGAAGCAAGCAGCATCTAAATCATTCTGCTCTGCCTTTAAGGCAACGATTTCATCATGTCTTTTCATT